CTCCAAATTTGTCGCGAAGCGACAGTGACTTGTTTCTATTTGAAGAATGAAAAGACACGTTTCTCTTAGAGAAATATCGGGGAAATACATTGTCAAAATAAGAAAAAATAAAAATTAATATGAGCTAAAGAGCTAACTATCTTGGGCAAGGTAATGGAAATTTTCAACTATAATTAATTAAAATCTCGTTAGAAGATATTCGTTCGAATCTTACCAATCTAAACACGTGTTATCTTCCGATCAGTGGTTTTGATTTTCTTGACATTGTAAATTCATTGAACATTACCATCTGAATTTGAATAATCCAAAGATAAAATTTATCGCATCGATATTTGTATCATATCACGATGTTTATAAAGAGTTAACTTAAAATGTTTATTAATCGAGAACTTCCAAACATTCCTGACAGATTTTTCACTTTTGCCACGTTTCATGATTTCGGAATGGCGAGTCGAACAGAAACGAACGTAAAAAACTTCTGATACACAGACAGTCCACTTAAATTCAAATTAAAATTCAAGGTTTGAGAAACTTGTCGGGTAACTTACGGATATCTAGAATTTACACGCTCTGGACCAATCGGCTCGATCGTTAACAGTAAATCATCGCCCCGATGAAACTACTCCACTTTCTACGTACAAAAAAGCGATGTGTCTTAAGTGTATATCGATTTTTTGCAATCGTTACCGTAAAAGGCGCCATATCATTAAAAAAAAAAAAGAACCAGATTAATAATATCAATCGAAATTATCCATTTCTGCGCATTTCGATAAGTAAGAAAGGCTCAAAATCCAAATTTAATCATTATTATTTGTGTATTTTCGTTGAAAGCGAAATAAATTGTCGAGAATTAAAAATCCACGTTTGACACTAATCAAACTTTAAACATTAGAACATTATACTGTTTTTTTATCCTGATTTTCATATGCAATATTTTCAATGACATTTACCTATAGTTTTGGTTACAATTTGTCTCACCATTCTACCTATTTCAAAGACAAAAGAAATTTCCGTTCCTATCAAACGATAAAGCAATAATAAAGAGAAACTTTGTTCAAAGTTTCACCAAAGGCTTCAATTGCAGAATGAAGCGTGCAACGTAATTTTTTATATATCGACCTCTCGTTGAAAAGTTTTGAATTTTCAAGTTTCGAAGTGACGACGTCGCCTCATCCGCGAAACACACAATAAAATGATACACACGATGAAAATGATACCTATATCCGAGATTTCAATGCTTCGCTTTATACCGCAAAGAATCACGTAACAACTCCCCTTAATTGTCCAATGAAATATAGCCGTAAAATAGAAGGGGGGAAGAGTGGAAAGGGAGAAAAAAAAAAAAAATGTATAACTTACCGAGATCGGGAATGGAGCTGGTAGGTTCCTCGTGGTGGCCCTTGCCCTCGTTCGAGGCTCTGGCTCTGGGGGGCGGCGGCGGCGGCGGTGGTCTCATACTGGACGTTGAACTGACTACAACAGTGGCTGGCGGTGGTTGCTGCGTTGGTCCTGCGTTTCTATGATTTCCTCGCATTTGGGTCTGTGGTGACATCAGGACCGTGTCACCGCGGTGCCCCTGGGGCGGCCTGGGGCACCAGCCATGTAGCACTCTAATCGCGCTCCTTACTTCCGCCTGTAGTTCGGCGGCCCTGTCCCTCGCCGTGTGAGCCACGTTTAATATATTTCACCCGCGGCCGCGGGTCACGGGATCGCACTCGAAAATCTCTCGCGGACAAGAACGCGTTGCGATCGGCTTCATTCACGAGGAACACGCGAACACATCGACTACGAGCAAGATTCGCGATTCGAGAAGTTAGCAAATCGGTGGTCGGGTGCTTTCGTTGGCCATACAACAGTACGTCGCAAGATGGAAGGGAAAGGAAAAGAACGGAAACACTAGACTAAGAATTCAGTCGTCAACAACAGTCCTGACTCACTCAGTTTGTTGCTACGTTTTCACCGTATCTCCGCGCGGATGTCTCTCGAATGTCACGGTCAATGTCTTGCGGCGGCGTGACACCTGCAGCGAAAGCCCTCGCGGCGACACTCCGAACTAATCACTCATTTTACGCGCGCCGCGCACTCGTTTTCTACGGTAACGGCCGGCGATCGCGTCCCAGCGAGCGGAACCGCGATTATTTGGCTGAGAGATCGATCGAGAGAGGTGTACGAAGTAACCGAATGCGGAATGGGAATACAAACGCGAGTGTCACTTTCAAATATGCAGATCTTTCCTGCAGAAGTTTCGTCCTGCACACACGTGTCCTGCCGTCTTCTGCGTTGAATGTTCCTTACGATATCCTTTCAGAACGCACTGTCCGTTGGGAAATCACTGACGTAATATTTCCACACTGGCAATACAGAAAGATAAGCGCACGAGAAATACGTAGTCTTTTTCGAATGTACAGGTGAGCACATTTGCAATGCAGTTTCAGATCAATCACCGAGAAACAGCTTGCGAACCACTCATGCTTTGAGATTACCGAGTCGGAATACTTCCATTCATAACCTGAACGGTGTTGAAAGGTGTCAGACGTTTAACGTTTCACAATATCGGATAACACGTGCGAGACACACAATTCCGTCCGACGGAACATTTGAAGTATCACTGATGGAAAAATCTTGCCATTCGCGAATGGCTGTTATCGTACGATACACGAGAGTGCATAAAGGGAGAATACACGTAAGACCGGTCCGCGTGGACGAGTGTTTCTTAGCAGTTCGCCGAAAACAACAGTCCTCGGAATACGAGTAGTCTCTCGCGAGCCACCGCCGACCTTTCCCTCTCTCCCACCACCCACGCAACGTCCTCCTCCCTTCTACTTTCTCGCTCCCGCTTTCGTATACCAGAGAGTTACTCTCGCCCCTCTCTTCGGAACACTCTCGGTTTCCCTCTGTCACCCTTGATACACACGACTGAGACGAAGACAGCACGAGCGCGAGATCCACCTCCACGGTTGACCGCGGTTTATCGTCGCGAAGGCCTCCGAGAGCGTCAACCCCTGCTCGAGTTTCGTCACGAGATAAATCGTAAAGGCAAAACGTGGCTGCCCCGTTCAGTCTCGATTACTCGATTACTCGAACACCGTGCACGCCTCGCGGCTCGCATTCGCGTCGATTCTCTCACTTTGATCGATAATCGATACGATCGATCACGTGGTCAAGACAAACGCGGGAAATCATCGCGAC